GGGAAGGGGCGGGTCCGGCCCCCCAACCGGGCCGGGGACGGGCCAGGGGCCAGGGGGCTTTCTGGGCCAGGGGCCCAGCCCTGGGACCCAGCGGCAGCCAGCCCTTACGAGGGCGGCACAAGCCATAGCGCACAGATGAGTTTGTCGGGCCTCAGCGCAGGGTCTGGGCATGCGATGGGGTGTTTGGGGGTGGAGGGTGAAAGGGTGCCATGTGTTGGGGTGAGAGCCCCAGGGCTGGCATCAAAGTGACCCTCCTCACTGACACCCGGCTCCTCCATCGCCTGCCCTGGGCTGGCGGCGGTGGCCGGAGGAGGCTGCTCTGACCGTCTCTGTCATTGTCCCCTCCCCCAGTACATGGGGTGCATCGAGGTGCTGCGCTCCATGAGGTCCCTCGACTTCAACACCCGGACACAGGTCACCAGGTACGGCCCCGCAGTCCCACTCTCCCGCACCCCAATGCCACCCGGAGCCCCCGGCAGCCCTGGGTGCTCCCCTTCCCTGGGGCCCTGTGGAGAGGGGGGGACACGGGGACAGAGTCTGGGGGAGCCCTGCCCCGCGGGATCCACCCCACGCGCGGGGACACAGATGAAGGGCACTGCCGCGGATCAGTGGGCGGAAAGAGGAGAAGGGAGGTGGCCCCGGCCGGGATTACGTACCTCAGGCCCGTGACGTGGGGCAGTGTTGCGGGGAGGCTGCGGCACCCGGGGCTGCAGGGGCTGATGTCCTCAGACCCCGTGGAGCCACAGGCAGGGGGCGTGGCCGGGGGAGGGGGAGCAGTAACGCAGCCGGGGGCCATGGCTTGCAGGGAAGCCATCAACAGACTGTACGAGGCGGTGCCGGGTGTGAAGGGCATCTGGAAGAAGAAGGTGAGTGTCCACCCAGCCCATCCTTCCTGGGGTGGGGCAGGGCTGCGCGACGGGGTGCCTGTGTGGTTCATGGGGCATAGCCTGGGGTCTTTTGGGGCACCCCTCTTTGCCTCCTTCACCCCAGAAAACCTGGTTGTGGGGGGCTGCATCACTCCTACACTCCTCTCCCCCCATCAGGCTCCCAACAAAGCCCTCTTCTCCATCCTGGGCAAGAGCAACCTCCGCTTCGCTGGCATGAGCATCGCTGTCAACATTTCCGTCGACGGGCTGAACCTCATGATCCCCACCACGCGTCAGGTGAGAGCCGTCCCCGGGGATGCGGCCCCACCACCCACCACCTCCCAGCCCTCTGCCTTCTGCTGCAAACCGGGGTCTGGCAGCCCCCGTGCTAACCCCCCTCCGTGCCATGTCCCTCCCCAGATCATTGCCAACCACCACATGCAATCCATCTCCTTCGCCTCCGGTGGGGACACGGTGAGGCACGCGCACCTCAGCCCTCCCCTGGCTGCGGTCCCTCGGGGGCAGCGGGGACAGGGGCTCCCCGTCCTATGGCTGAGCCGAACTGCGGGGCAGCCCGGTCCCGGGGCAGGACGTGGGGCTGGGGCTGAGCCCGGCCCCTCACCCCGGCACCCCCAGCCCTGCTCCCCGCACGGCAGCAGGACGCGGGCCCCGAGT